ATCCATGAGCAAAGCTTAATAATTTCTCAGGTTGTGATCTGGCATAGGGTCAAAATAAGGGATCTCAGTTTAAAGGTCTGTGAATAATACCAGATAATATTTTAATTGTCAGAGAGGATTAGCATTCAGCTCATGCTAAAAAAAAATAATAAAATATGAAGATTACATTACAAAATATGATTTTATTAAAAAAATCAAAATGTAAGCTAGAATAACCCACTACAGAAGGTTAAAAAAAGACTTTTGAGTTTGTGGAAATCATCACTATCTTATATTGCACAAAAGAGAGCTCTTTATCCAAATGTTGCTGGCTGGAGCTCCAGGACCCGCTCAGCAGGCATTCTATTTGCTTGACATAAAACCCAACCAGCAAATCTGATCTATTTGACTTCTGCATATGAGATGTCCAAATTTGAAATAAGTCACTTTGTACAACTCTAACAATTCAACGGTAGTCATAATGATATGCCTTTGTTTACTTCAAGTTTGATTTCTGCCTGTGTTATGTCATGTCTATAACTGATTTTAGCCCTGATGCCAATTACTATTTTCTCGTGCAGGTTAGTCCAGAATAAAACAAAAATAATAAATTTCCACCCAGAGAAGAAAGGGATAATGAAACAATTTTTATAAACAGACAAAAAACAGCCCTCAAAACCCATCCAAGTTGTGGCTAACTTGACAATGGCATACTGCCCATGATCTGTCCTTCCTGTCTATGCTCTTGCTCAGCTCTATTGCTGGTTTTGTGATACCCAGCTCTGTAAGTTTCCACTTAATGCACTAGAGATGGAAAAGCTGTCACTGTTGTTCCTGCATGCAGCAGTGTATCATTCCTAGATGTGTCCACAAGATAGTCTTTAAACACTAGTGAGACTCCTGTCCCATTGTATCCTGTGAAAACACTTCCAGGAGCCCCTCTAGAACCCAAGACGTGGAAAAAGTGTGTTGGAGCCTGATCTGTGGCAACAACAATAGAAAACACATTATTCTGAGTTGTAGAAATAAGATATAAGGAAATCCAAACCTGAAAAATGGAGGGAGGGAAAAAACAAAACAAACCCCAAACCACTCATTAGGAAGCATGGAAAGCTATTCCAATATTCAGGAAGTCCTTAATCCAGACCAGACTTGGTCTGAAACTGTGGTGGGCTATGCTATTGCCAGATGCTATTTCCAATGTGATTTATTTTAAGAGAATATTAGACTTGGCCAAGAAGCTGCATTTGTTTGACTTGTTTTTATCTGCAAGTCTTGGGTGATATAAAGGGCACTGGGATGGGGTTCACTCTTCTCCTAGAACTGAACCACCTTCTTTTTGCCCTTTGTTAGACTCATCGCTTGGAAATTAGGATGCATTTCAAAACTGTCCGATGTTACACTTTGGGTTTGCAATAACTAAGATGATCACATTCAGGAAAATGATCAACTCTTTATTTAGACAGGCCAACTTTGATGCTGATTACAGCAGTCCTCCTGTTGCTGGTGCTTATTGTAAAGTGATGAATAGCCTTTATACCAGTCTGTAAGAGAATCATTCCTTTCTCCACAGGAGAATGTCTCCAGCATTGCTGGGGCAGGGAATGAAAGCCCTGGGTTGAGCTGAAATGGGTTCCTGGGCCACGAGCAGAGATTATGGGAGTCTCCAGGGGAGGTTGGGCAGGGCCAGCAGCCCTGGTAGTGCCTTCAGGACTTTACAAACATAAACCCATTTTTCTTTCTTCAAAAGGAAGCAAATGTGTGGGTCACATGAGTTCACTGATGTGGTAAAAATGGTCCAGCAATGGAGAAGACAAGTATTTTTTACAACAGTTATACTGTGATTTTGAATGATCCTCCTGGACATATCAAGATTTAACTATACCTTTCCAAATGTTTGCCATTTTCTTCCATCCATGCTTTCTTCTACCCATCTCTTCTCACTCCAGGGAGGCATTTGGGAAGCACTGCTTCACAGAGACCTAATGAGCTCGTCTATGCAAATCTGGCTTTAAGCGAGAAGGAAGAGATCCAGCATGTTCACGAGGATGGTCTTGGTGCATGAAAGGTGCTCTGAAGAACATCGCTGTAATGAGGGAGAAAAATCCTGAGGCAGAAAGCTGGGTAGGAAAGAAATTTCTCTTTCATTCAAGCTGTTTCTTTCTTCCCCTTATCTGATCAACTGAAACAAAACTCCTCTGAAGGAAATCTTTCCCACACAGTCTGCAAGACACTGGTGATCAGCATCGCCATACATTTTACATTTTATTTCTGGTAAATACAGAAACCACAAAGGCTTCCCTTCAATTTCTAAAATGCTGGTGTAAGAGCACAAGATGGATGTTAATGAATATAAAAAGAAAAGGAGCAAACAAAAACCAGTTAGCATTTGCTTATGAAGGAAAATTGAGTAACATAGATCTAGTGATATAAACATGTATCTAGGTATGATCATGTATCTCTATTTGCAAAAATAATTTCCCAGAATAAAGTTACTTTTACTGTGGACTTACTAGCACAGTAAAGATTTTTTTATTTCAGAATAATTCTCCTTTTTGAAAGCAGAACAACTGCTCATTCTGGAGCAGTGTTGACACAGCATGCACACCAGTGTAGCTGAAAGACTGTGGCAACCCACCTATCAACTGCTCTTTCTGTCAGTTTTACCAATAAAGTCCTATTAGTGTCTGGGTGTGTGTATGAGAGGGAGATAAGACGGTCTCCCTTTATCAAAAATACTGAAAAATCAAATATTAAAATCTCAAGAAAACATGATCTGCTTCAAAACCACTCACTGCATGATGAAAAGCAGAAGAGGAAAACTGCAGCTCTTCAGATCCTACTATTTAATGAGCATATGAAGGAGTAAACTCCAATTTCCTACAGTCTCGTGGGCTTTAATGGCTGCAGTGGCTAAGAAGACACAAGCTCCAGTTGAACTTTTCTCACTAGTGTAACATATACACGCAGATTTTCAAGTATGTCACAACACGAACTCCTAGTGCCACCCTTGCCATGCTCTGGGCACAAGGGGATATGTAGCAAGCCCCTTCACCCAACTATCTTCTTTTTCTTAAACTTCTTAGAATTTAATTGTCTTTGAGAGTTTTGCCTGCCTCTCACATTCAGTTTCAACTGATCAGTGCATTCAAAAACTAGGAATGAGGCACATAGACACATGTACACACAAGGGGTGGAATGTATAAAATACATAGATGCCTACATTTCAGCTGGGGAGTAGCTGAGGAGAGGAATGGGTTGCTATGGAGCTTTGTTTATCACATATAAGATACAGAAGAGAATTTCCTTGATTGACCATAAGGGTAGGCTAGGCTGAGCAGCATAGGCATGGGCGTCTATGTCACAGATGCCCAGATTTCAGGCAAAGAGCATTTTGCTGGAGCTTTCCATAGAAAACTAACCTTGAACTTGGCAATGCTTAGGACTTCCACTACTGTGGTAGCCATTCAGAAAACTTCTGAAGGTGGGTCAAGAGAAGATGGTTGAACGATTTTAAAAATCATACATCTCTATGTTCCCAAGCCAGTGGGCAAGGAAGTACATAAAATGGGTGAAATCTGACACAGTAAACAAGCATTCAAAGTTTAAGGCAATTTTAATGGGTTGTAATTGAAACCATGGAGGCAAATACTGCCCAATCTCTTCCTTGAGTGGCTTTCAAAAGAATTAGGAGGTCTTTGCATTAAAAATAAAAATTAAAAAAAAAATCAGAAAAGACAAACATTTTTTTGGAAAGCCTTTATCCCAGCTGTGAAATGTGCAACAGTGAAGGCAAAATCTCAGAGCCATAGGACGAGATGAAGCTTGACCAACACAGTTCAGAAGGCAAAGCTGCAGAAGAACTGTTATGAAAACCGAGAAATAAAGAAGAGCTTGAAAAGGAGAATAGCTTTCTAGTTCGATACCTAAAATATAGAGGGGCATCACTGAATGAGGGAGAGAGACTTCCTCCCATTATCAGGAATGATCACAGACTTCCCATTAAAAAGCAATAAAGAAGAACTATTAAACCCTATGGGAGGCAGCAGAAGTAGCTGAAGTCTTGATCGCAGCCTGATACCCTGTCAAGACTTGATGACAAAAGCGCATAAGTCCACACCCCAGGTAGGTGACTGACTCCCCAGGCACTGCACCTCTGCTGTGGCCCTCGGCAGGCCCTCAGCGGGCCAACAGTGGGGCTGGGCCAGGGCTGCCAGGTCGGCAGCCAGACTCGGGAACAGCACTGTGTCCTGCGTTGTGTGCCTGTGCCCTTCCCGGTCTGGGGAGAGGAGAAGAGGGGAGGGGTGCTGTAGGTGTCCCACTGACCAGGAGAAGGTGGTGTGTGTGTATGTGTGTGGGAGAGGACAGCATATGGAAGTGCGTGTGTGTGTTCGTGCATGCACATTTCCTATCTAGGAGGGAGGTGTGCGGGGAGGTCTGAGTGTGTGCGCATCCCATACATAGGAATGTTAACGTGATTGCACCCTTGTCTGAGAGGGGAATCCCCTGCCTAGGGTGGGCGGTTAGTGTGTGTTGTGTATTTGTGCATGTGTGTGTATCCCCTGCCTGGGGGGGTTAGTGTGGGCTGTGTGTGTACATGCATGTGCACGAGTGTGCGTGTGTGGTGTGTGTTCATCCCCCGCCTGTGGCACTGGTACAGTGTCTGTGCGTGGCTGCATGTGTATGTGTGTGTGTGAGCGCATCCTCTGCCCGGACAGGGGTGTGGGGGTGTGTGCGCAGGCCCGGGCAGGGGGTCGTGCGGGGGCGGGGGCTGCGCAGCCCCGGGCAGGGGGTCGTGCGGGTGCGCGTAGCCCCGGCGCGGGCACGGAGCGCGGAGCGGGCGCGGCGCTCGGTGTGCGCGCCGCCGGGCGGGGGGGCGGGGGGCGCCCCGCGTGCCCCGGCCGGGAGCGGCCGTGCCCCCCCGCCCCGCCGCCGCCGCCGCGCACAGCCGCAGACACGGGCGGCCGCGCCGGCAGCCGGCGGCTCGCATGCAGCCGGGGATTACGGCGGGGCGAGGGCAGCGCGGGCTCGGCTCTTATCCCCTCCTCGGTCCCCCCCTCCGCCCGCCACCCCAGCCGCTCGCCGCGCGGCTGCTCCGGCGGCTTTTCATCTACGGGGGTAGGAGCGAGATGCCTTTGCCGTGCTTCTTCCACCCCCAGTCCTCTCCGTGCCGGGGGGGCGGTGATGTGGAGCTGGGAATGTAGAGGAAAACCCTCCCCGGGAAGAAGCGACCAAAACAAATCTCTCTCCGTGGCTTTGGCGGCCGCGCAGTGCCCGGGGAAGCCTCAGCAGCCCCTGCCAGCGCCGGGGAATCCCTCCTGCAGCCCCCGGCGGCGCCCCGGGCGCCCGCCGAGCAAGGTAAGCGGGAGGGCATCCCTCCTCCGCCGAGGGCTGCCTTTTGGTTTTATTTGTATTTATTTTAGAGCCCGAGTCATCCACGCCTCCCGCGCTGATGGGACTGTGGAGGGAGGCGAGAACTGCCGGCTGGCCGCCGGTGGGCTGCGGGGCGCCCGGGCCGGACGGGAGCGCCGCGCTTTCGCGGGGAGCCCCGGGCGCGCCCCGGGCGCGGCGGGGAGCGCCCCTGGGGAGGGGGAATGCTCGGCGGGGCGGGACGGACACGGGGCGTCCTCCCCGGCTGCCTGGATCGGTCTGAGGGAGGAGAGTGCAACCCTCACGCTGGAGCGCTTTGGAAACCATGGATTGTATTTTTGTTCCATCAGAGCTGCTAAAGGGAGTGGGGGGAATGACATTTCGTAGTATTCTACCTCCTGCTGTGGGTGAGCTCTACAGAGAAAGGCTCGTCATTTGTTTCCGACGCTCTAATAACGCTTGTGGAAACCTGATGATACAAAACCTCAGTGTTCTCCGTAGCTGTCGTTGGAATTACCCCATCTACCCAGGGACTGAAAAATCCCCTCTATCAAAGAAAATACGTGTAGCATTGTGGTAGTCTAAAACAGTCATATATGCTTTCTGTAGGTATATAGCATGCTGACAGTTCCCTGGATTTAAAAACCTAAATGTCTTTATGAACAGACATGTTCACTGGCTGTATGGTTTCTACAAACCGTTCAGTGTGTTTCTTCTATCAGAATTTCACTGCCCGGGGGAAGGAAGACCTTTGTTTATACACTATGTATGTACTGTCCGTATTTATAGTAGGGTTTGGACTTAATTCAAGTTACATAATGATTAAGATACAAATAGGAAGTATATTTGCAGTTTTTTGGACATTTTAATTCATTTCAGATAAGACTGTCTCTGGCATCACTACCAAAATTGTCACTGTCGATGTTTATGTAAAAAGGGAAGCGTCCATAGCATCAGGTGGAGACAGCATTCCTTGGCAAATACACAGTCATCAAGACCTTGCTATCAAAAGAATACCTGAGGAAAGGATTTCAGTGACCCCATCCTGTAGCTCTGAGAAGCTGCCAGGATTGGTTTAGGAGAGGAAGAATAGCACTGAGACTGGGCAGGCTTGGCAGGGAGAAGAGCCTGTCTGGTGATGTTTTGCTTTAAAGACGCTTAGACTTCAAGTCTGCTCAACTGGCAAGTCTATCCAAGTTAGTGCAGAGATAGCACCAAGCCTCAGAGGCTGGGCAAGGTCTGTGAAACTAAACATCCTAACAAGCCTGGGGCACGATCCTAGAGAGTTTTAGTAGAAACTGTCAGGGGAGCAGGGTCAGTGAGTACATGCCCCTTGTGAGATTTGTTTGCTCTCCAATCACTGAGATGTGCTAGCAAAGCTCTGGAAATATTTCCCAGAGAGATGAGATGCAATACAAAAAAAAGTTTGTTTCTGGTTCTTAACACCTTTGTCTTCTTTGTTCAAACAACATCTGATAAACTGTCTCTTCACTCAGCCTTAGTGGAACTTGCAGCTGTCTTGTTATAATTTTTTTCTTTTTCCAAATTATGCTTTTGCAGGCAGCTCTCACCAAAGCATTTGAATTGCTTTTGCCTCCTTCTTTCTCAGCTGGATGCTGTCACTGGGGCTCAGCAGGTTGGCCTCATTCAGACAAATGCAGACAGTAAAACATCTTCAGCTCGAGATGAGGGAGTAGTGCTGTTTGGAGCAGCATGCTTCAGTCTGAGCTTTTCCATTGGCTTCAGCGTTTTGAAATGTCCCATTGCTGTAACGATGCCATATCATACGTATTTATTCATGCTTAGCCTTTTTTTTTTCTCTAAGTGAAAGTTAATTGGCAAATTCTGGCTTGCCATTCAAAGCAAGGCGAGGGGTCAAGATTTGCAATAGCTTTCTTGCCAACATTTGGGATTTTGCCAAACAGCTTGCTACTGTCACTTTTAGAAGAAAATCTTAATCTTACGTGACTTCCATGAGCTTCATGTAACTACATGCTCAGGTAAAATATTTTCCATGATACTACTGTATTTAAAGCTACCTGCTGGAGGACATTTCAGTCAGTGTTTTACTCTGTCTGTTGTTCTTATATAAACAGCATGTTGGGGAGGGTCTGTCTGTTCTCTGTTCTTCATGGCTTATAGGAACACGAGCTGAGATACTTGGTGAAGGGGGCAGTGACTGGCAGCATGTAGTGCAGTGGGGGATTCCACTGCAGACCCCTCTGAAAGTGTCTGCTCTACCAGAGTACAGACCTGCTGCTCCCGACAGACTGAGCTGGAAGCCAGAAGGGGAAGCACTTAAAGTTTCAAGCTACTTCAGCTTCATCAGAGCAGGCATACATGCATTCTAAAAATGAGTTTTTGTATGTTTTCAGGGATCATTTCTATTAACTCGTCATGCAATTGCATAATGCTTTCTGACCCAGCAGCGCTCACAGCTCTTGAAGTTAAGTAACAATTGCCTCTGAAAGGACTTTCTGTTTCTCTCGTGTATTTTTATAGGAATTTTTTTCATTTTTAGGAATAAGGTTCTTTTACCTAATAGGCGTCTGAATATTATAAACATGGCTGCATGATAAAAAACAGTCTGCTTTTCACTTTGTTGAGTTGGGCTGTTTCTACTCTCATCGGGATATGAACACCCTAAGAGAAAACATTTTTGATTTCCCATCAGTAGCTGGCATCTTTTTATTGTGGTTATTGCCGAGGTAGTGGCACTGGGTATTTGATTTCTTTGATTTTATATCTTTTAAATCTTTGGGACATGTTCTCTTATCTCACATTTAACAGGTAGAAATGAGTGTCTAGTTTGTAACAAGAATATTAACTGTAAACCAAAATAAACTTTCCGATTTCTAATTGTGGAGATCTTTTAAGATGTGCAACAGTGTTCTATGGGATACTGTGAAAATAAATTGCCTGGGACATTATACAGTAGATTTTATCCTATTGTAAATGTAGATTTTTTTTGTGCAATTCCATAGCTTCCTATGTTTGCTTATCTATAATTCTCTGACTATATGGAAAGGATATGGAAAGAATTTCATTATTTTGAATTTTTTTCTTCAGTATTATGCAATTAGAGGGATCATATTGCATGCTGTAATAGATACATTGCTCAGTCATGCTCAAATTCAATCTAAGTAAAATGCATATATATGACTAAATATAAAAACTGAACAGAGAAGCTTAACTCTATTTTTTTATTGACCAGAACTTGGAAATGTCTTATCTTGCTTAGCTATTGGTACAAAGTCAGTCCCAGTATAGCTTCCCAGACCACTAAATACCATAAAAGCCTTAGACATAATATGTGTCAGTCAAGATATTTAAAATCTATTAATCTTAAAATCAGCTGTATTCTTCATAAAAGATAGAAAGACTGCAAAAGCTATTCTGCTTTTTGTCCTTCCCAGTGCTTGTTACAGCACATGCAGAAATTTCAGTGCAAGTCGCACATTCGGCAAGTCCTGAAATTTCACTTGTTTACTGTGCCATACCTTGCTGTGTTCCAGGGGCTGGAGTAAACAGAGAATGAGGTTTTTTAGACTACTTTTGTTCACCAGAATGATAGTATGATGATGTTAACTGGATAATCAGCAAATAAAGAATATTATTTTGAATATACTTCTTCTTGGATTATTGCGATCGCATGAACAATATGGAAACAGTAATGAAAAAGTCTTAGGCCACTAAAGTTAGTGGAGTTTTTAATTTATTTGTTTCTAATGCAGGAAATCTATATTTAGCCATAATGGTAGAGCACTGTGACTTAGGTGTCTGGCTTCTATACATCCCTAATCCTCCTCTGGATAACTATAGAGTAGTCAGTAGCATCACTGCTGGCACCAGCAAGAGACTCAGAACAACAGTGTATTAGCTAATAAATAATATATGTCATACTGGCGTAATGCAGCTCTGAGCATTTAGGAGTAGGCTGCGATAAGCAGCAGTTGTAGTCTTTACAAGGAACAATGGCAATCAACCAATTTACCTCTCATAGTACTGTGACAGGGGGACTGTGGTACACTGTAAAACTGTGCGAGGGCATTTACAGTCCGAGCCAAGGCAGAGGGGCTGAATAGCTCTCTTACCACAGCACTGGCACATGATGCAGAAGCTCTAGGCTTATCAATGCTTCTCCCTGGGAAATCATACTTGCTATTGCAGGGTGTTCTTCGTGCTGCCATCATATTCGGGTATTTACTTGTTGGGAAATAAACATCAGCCCTTTATGTTACGGGGAAATGAATGCAAAGCTGTGCTGATAATTAACTGAACAAAGCTCTCAAACGTAATCGTCTTTGATGACACTGGAGATGAGCTTCTCCCTCTGACTGCCTAACAAGTTAAGAAATAGAAATCAGTTATGGCAGTACAATCCAAATACAGAATAAATTTGCCTCAGAGCTTTAATAAGATATCTCAAGGCAGTTCATAATATTTATTTCACAGTACCTCATGAATGGTTAACTTCTAGAAAATTAGTTGCATTTTCAATATATAGAGATAAAAATTACCATCAAATGCAACAATGAAGCCATAATGCTGCTTTCTACAGAGTTTTCAGTTGTGTCATTTGCCCTCTTAAAGTGTGAAGATTTGGTTTACCTGCAAGGTCGTTGACCTCATCTCAGCTGGATGTATTCTCAGATGACTAAATAATCCTGCTATAATTTATGGCTATACGTTCAGTGTAAATTTACATATACCAGAGAGATCCTGAGACAGTTTGAGCAGAAAGAGCTGGCAAGCTGCAGCAGCTAGAAGAATCCCACTAATTTATTTAAGCAGACTCAAACCAGTGAATTGGCCTAATTATCCATGAAATCACAAAGCTGTGAGTGACAGTGGTTGTTGAGATTAATAGCACACAGTGTCGATTTACCTTGACAGGAGTGCCATCTAGAAGGTCTTGCCTTCTAGAATATTTGCCTCTCATGCTTTCTTCATTCTCATTATTGCTGACATAGAGCAAACCTCTTAAC